TGCAATGACGAATGGAGCCTCAATCAACTTTCAACAAGGACAAAGATAGTTGTAACGGATGTTATGACATTCCAACCTGGCATCAGATTCTCGGCCACTGCAATTATGACGACTTTTCCAAATTGCAAGATGTAGAGGGAATGAAAATCAAGGGGAAGAGTAAGATTGATAAATCTAACCTAAACTGTGAGGTTTGCACACAAGGTAAATTTGTTTAGGGCAGAAACAGGGAACATGACACACGTGCTAAGTCTGCACTTGAACTAGTGCACACAGATCTAGCTGATCCTATTGACCCAGTAGCTAAAGACGGTTTCAAGTATGCACTTGCATTTACTGATGACCACTCAGGTACAGTGTTTGAGTATTTTCTAAAAGCTAAGAGTGACACTGTGAAAGCTACTGAAAAATTTCTCGCTGATACATCCCATTATGGGACTATAAAGTGTGTTAGATCAGACAACGGCACCGAATTTATGGCAAAAGAGTTTCAGTCTCTATTAAGTAAGAACTGTATTCGTCATGAGACCTCAGCGCCTTACTCACCCCATCAAAATGGGACTGCTGAGAGAAATTGGAGGACGCTATTTGAAACGGCAAGATGTTTGCTCTTAGAGAGCAATCTACCCAAGATGTTGTGGACGTATGCCGTAATGACTGCTGCAGTAATTCGCAACAGGTGCTACAATGGCAGAATACAGCAAACCCCATACTATGCACTGACAGGAAGAAAACCTGATCTTTCAAAAATGAGAGTTTTTGGTTCAGCTTGTTACACATATAAGCAGGACAAAAAGAAGTTAGATGCACGATGTGAAAAAGGGATCTTTGTAGGGTATGACAAAAACAGCCCTGCATACCTGGTCTATTATCCAGACACAGGAAAAGTTCTCAAGCACAGACTTGTGACATTTGTAACAAAGTGTGTTACTTAACACCAAACACAGACTGACATTTCAATGTCAGATGATGATTTCCATGAGGAAAGATATGTGTCCTCCCAGTCAAAGGAAAATGTGACTGATCAGATCCCAGAAGAGACTCGTAAACCTCAAAATGAGACTCAAAATCAGCAATGTGCTCAGACAGAGGTAGTTGATCACAGTATGCGGTATCCTCAGAGAAACAGGAGAGCTCCTCAATTGTCTGATTATGTCTCTGATGTGGAATGTGATGACCATATTCTGACTAATGTGGACTTCTGTTACAGAGTGTGTGGTGTACCACAAACATTCAAGGATGCTATGAGTTCAAGTGAGTCACAGATGTGGGCTAGGGCCATGAAAGAGGAAATTAATTCTCTTGAGGAAAATGACATATTTACTCTAACTACGCTACCTGAAGGTAAACATGCAGTGGGAGGTAGATGGGTTTATGCCATCAAAAACAACGCAGATGAGACTGAGACATACAAGGCCAGATATGCTGCAAAAGGCTATAGTCAAGTGATGGGGGTAGATTATAAAGAGACTTTCTCACCAACAGCAAATATCACTTCCGTACGTGCTTTAATGCAAATGGCAGCACAATATGATCTTGAACTTCATCAGATGGATGTAAAAATGGCCTATTTGCATGCTCCAATTGACTGTGAGATGTACATGGAACAGCCAGAAAGATTTGAAGTGAAGTCAGATGTAGGTGAGAAACTAGTCTGTAAACTGAACAAGTCACTGTATGGGTTAAAACAGTCAGGTAGAAATTGGAACAAAATATTACACGACTACCTCTGTGAAAATGATTTTGTTCAAAATTCAGCTGACCACTGTGTGTACGGTAGACAAACTGAAAAGGAGAGAGTGATTGTTGTGATCTGGGTTGATGATCTGATCATTGCTGCTAGTAACAATGATTCACTGAATTGTGTGAAAAAGATGCTGACAGCGAGATTCAAAATGAAAGATCTGGGAAAACTAAAATATTTTCTTGGAATTGATTTTCATCAGAACAAAGGGTACGTGAAAATGAGTCAGAAAAGGTACATTTTAAAGGTACTAGAGCGATTCAATATGTCAGACTGTAAACCCAGGTCAACACCATGTGAGCAAAAACTTGACCACGGTGATGATGATCCTGTTGATCCTAAAAGGTTTTGTGAGGCAGTGGGTAGTTTGATCTGATGACATGTACCAGACCTGATCTAAGTTGGACTGTCAGTAAATTGTTGCAATATCTGTCCAATCCAAACGAACAACACTGGTCTACAGCAGTGATGCGCGGGTTGATCCGAAATGAGCGGGTGCCCGCGGTCACCCGCGGTTACCCGCAGTTACGGGTCATCCAAAAATGCTTTTAATGATATTCGGGTCGCGGTCGGTCGGGTCGTTGAAAAAAGATGCCAATTGAACCTCTGTATTTATATAGTAGGCTACAAGAAACCATTTTCTATGAAATATACAGCCCTACACTTTATTGGCTGAATAACTGGCACGAGGATAACACACGCTCAGTCTAAACAGTTCTCGGTTCTACACTGGTGTGATTCGAGAACCGCTGTCCCTGTGCGTTCAGTAGTACGTGGATGCGCAGTATCAGCTGCTCGTGCTCATCACTTCTCTCAACAGTGGCACCAACATGTCTCGGTTCAGTGAACGGTTGGAGAGTTACTGGAGTAAAATATAATTCGGGATATTGATTTATTTCGATTCATTAAAAAGAACCGGTTCAAAAGAACGATTTGTTCACGAACTGACCATGTCTACGATCACTACAGTCTGCAGAGATGGAGGCGGCGAGAGAAAAGGTGAAGACTGGGGAGTGGAAGCTCCGCAAATACACAAATAGAAAGAGTAAAAGTGTGGGAGATATTTACTGAAATAATGAAAGATGATGACCAAAGTGCTGGCTTTGCCTTTGTTATGTGTACGTCTTCTTGCAATGCTGTGTTGTTACACGTCTATGCTCCGATAACGCTCCGATGAGCATTTACTACTTTTAAAAAATGCGGTCAGGAAGCGGGTCGGGTACAATATTTTCGTACTTTTTTTTGCGGTCCGAGTTGCGGGCGGGTAGTTGAAAACGTCAGTCGGGTGCGGGTTGTTTATACATTGACCCGCGCATCACTGGTCTACAGTGAAACATGTGATGAGGTAGGCTACTTAAATGGTACAATTGATTATGAACTATGTTACAAGAAAAGAGAGGAAATTCTCAAACGTGTGGCATACAGTGATGCTGATTGGGCATCAGATCTAAATGACAGGCGGAGTACGACAGGATACTGTTTTAGTCTTACTCAAAATGGTCCTTTAATTTCCTGGAAGTCAAAGAAACAGTCCACAGTTGCTTTGTCCACATGTGAAGCTGAGTACACGGCATTAGGAGCAGCCACACAGGAAAGCCCGTATCTTGTACAGTTGTTGAATGGCATGGAAAGTGGTTGTCTGAGCCAGTCCAAATCTTTGAAGATAACCAAGGTGCCATTGCTCTGTCGAAGAACCCAGTGTGTTGACAAAGATGCAAGCATGTAGATATAAAGTATCATTTCATTCGATCAGCACTCAGTGATGGTAAAGTGACAATTGAGTATTGCCCCACTGAAGAAATGGTGGCTGATGTTATGACTAAACCAGCAACAAAGTTTAAACTTGAAAAGTTCAAAAGTCTTATGTTTGGCATGTAAATACAGCACAAGAGAGATACACGATGTGTTATGTTATCATAATGGTAATCTACACAGTATGGGAACAAGTGGGGGTGTGTAAAGTTTGTAATGTGTGTTATTACATTATTACATTAATGTGTTATTCACATTATTCACTTTTTTTTTAGTAGCCTATATCCTTGCCTTGTTTTTGAATGAATAAATCAAATAGTGTTAAATACATTTCAGAGAAAGTTTTTCTCAATATTTTCCACTGGCCAAATAGTATTTTAATTGATTTATATTTTTAATGGAAACAGATAGACCTTGTTATGCATTATTTGCACGAAACAATTTTCTCAGACAATCTGCTATTAGCTATCAGTTAAAACATTAAAACACAGCATGCCAGAGGAAAAGTGTTCAAAAGCATTGCATCCACAACAAATAGCTCTATTTCTATTTATTGAATAAAAATTTTTTTTGGTAACTTCTCAGTAATGATGTCATGTAGTTTCAGTGTTTAGCTCCATTAATGAGAAAGGCATATTTAATCTAAATGTTTATATCAGAAGTAAAACATAGTTTAAATCACTCATTTATGTATTTAAACTGTAATTGTGAACATGCACTGTATTTATGATGACTCATGATGAAGATTTACGGTTTTACTCCATCTGCCGTTAAATAGGCTGAGCGTCAGTTTCACTAAACGGCCCAACGCGCGTGCTGGCGCGGATATTTAAGAAGGGATGGATGTTTGCTTCAAGGTTTGTGAAATTAAATTTGTATTATCTCTCTGTACATCATGTATAACTTTCTTTAGATTCTCTGTCTAATAGTGGCCAAAAAGACATTTAACTCGAGCTCACCATCGCTGTCGCCAAACTGCTCCATCTCCAAAATGTTCGTACGCATGGGTCAGAGTTTGCGTGCAGGTGCGCAAATTTTCCCGTCAAGTTTGTTTTTATAAATCACAACTTATGCGTCGGAAGTGGCGTATGCCTCTTTCAGGGCCTGTTTTGTGCGTACGCAACGTTTATAAATGAGGCCCCAGGTTTTTTTTTTGTGTGCGTAAGCAAGTCTTTGTGCATGAAGCCCCAGCTCCTCGCTCCAGATGCAGAGTGAAACAACATTATAAAACTGAAGTGGAAATCACAAGCACTGCACTTCTAATACTGAGCAGCATTTGTAAGTTCTCTGCTTTACAGTAAATCAGTGTTTCTGTTCATGCTCTAAAATTATTCCCATAAACATGATGACGTGAAGGTCTGGTCATATTCCTCATTTCTTCTCATTTGTTCATTTCAGTCACACCCATAACCACATCTCTGAGTGTGTGTACTTAAGCAGCTCCTGTCGTCGGTACGGCATGAGACCAGCATTACACCATGTTTGCTCTGGGTCTGCTCATCTGTGTTGCGCTACTGAGAGCATTCACTGCTCAGGCAGAAGTGGTCCAGGACTTTAATGAGTGTAGAGGGTTTTTCTACAAAGACACAGAACCACAAGGAATGGATCCGACTGCCAGTAAAATCTGTCAGATGTATGGTGAAGGACAACACAGGGAAAAAGACGTCATATATAAATACAATCCCTATTTTAAGTACGCTACGCTGTACTCAACACACCACAGGATCCCCCTCTACAGTGCCTACAGGTTTAATCCTGAATGCGGTAATGACAGCAGAAGGAAAGACGACTGGCACGTCGAGCCACAGGTGACTATGTGCTTCTGTTCTCTAAATACTTTTATTAGCAGTTTAAACTGTGCAACCCACAAGAAGCAGTTCTGGTAATTTAATTATTGATCTTCATTCTGTTTTGCCATTGCAAATAGAGCAATTGTACAGTGAACATTATAAATGTCCAATAAAAGAGACAAAGAACACAGAAAGAACAGAACTTTTTTCTACTATAGAAGTTTGAAAACAAAATTAGGAATTTTCTCAAAAGCAGTCAACATTAAACTAACCATCTAACATATTATTTATTCTGTAGCTTTCAGGTTACCCAACTAGATATATGGTCCGTGAGACAGACTTGAGAAACCTTGCGCTAGATGAAGACGTCATTAAACGAAGTCAAGCCGTGAGCAGTGACTACAGTTTCTCCGGATATGATCGTGGACACCTGAAACCCAGCAGCTTCGACTGCGGTGATGGCCGTAAGGCAACATTCACACTGACCAACGCCGCACCGATGGACCCGGATTTCAACCGTGTCCACTGGGAACAGTGGGAGAGAAATTTGAAGAGTTTTTTACTAAACCAGCGTAAGAGTGATGAGGGTTTAGCAACAGTCTACATTGTGACAGGTACGGTACCTAACGCGAATCTACGGATACCACAAAGGGGAAACCCTGAAGAACTCTCTGGCTATGAAGAATTCTCTGGCTCTGAAGAACTCTCTGAAGACTATGAAAGGGTGTCGGTGCCCTCTCACGTCTGGACGGCTGTCTGCTATAAACACCACAGTGATGACAGTAAGTCTTTCTCCTTCGGTTATATGGGGGAAAACCAGCCAGAAGAGCCTGACATAAACCTGATGAGAGTCTCAGACCTGAATGATCAGCTCAGCAGACTCTACAGGGAGCTCTCAGGAACTCCACAGACAGTTAACATTTTTGTGGATGGTTGTTTTGAAGATGATGATGATGATGATGAAATAAACAAGGTTAAGAATGAGTTTAAAAAGTTAACAAATCTTCCAGGGAGACAGGGACTCCACATGAGCACAGATGTGCAGACCACGTTTAGTGCAGTGAAAAGGGCCATTTGCAGTGAGAGCCAATCCTCTGAAAAGAAAGTCAAGGTGAAAGAGATGACTGTAAAATTACTCTTTGACAGCATGAAGACTTACTATACTATGGCTGAGGATCTGAAGGTTTCTGCTGGAAGTGCTTGTCTTATAACTAACACCAAACCAGTAGTATTTGGTCAACTTGATCTCAGGAAGAGGGATGTATCCGAGTGGCCGGACGCTGTTGAGTGCCTGCTGGTCCCAGAGAAGCAGAAGACTGCAGCGGATGGATCGAAGTGCTCAAGCGTCTCAGAGTCTCGTGACAGCTGTTGGTGCACCTCAGGAGGTCAAACCAAGCCCTGCTGCTCCTCTCCCTGCCTGTACGTGCACCATCTCGAGGACTACAGGTGTAGCTCAGGCCAGACGCAGATAAAGTGCTCACCGCGGTACTCACTCGTCACGGTTAATAGAGAGAGGTGCAAGGATGATCACCCCTGCGGCACATACGGCTACAACTACTACTGGTGTTACAAGGCCTCTGGCAGCTGGGATTACTGCAGTCCTCCGGTGTGGAGCAGTAAAGCCAAAAGCGGGAAGTTCTGCCGCAGTGATCATGCCTGTGCCAAATATGGCAAAAGTTACCTGTGGTGCTACACGGATAACAGAAATAACTGGGATTACTGTTGCAAAAATTGTGCCTAGATGGTTTACAATGTGTAGTATACTGTAAGAAATATATCCATAAAATAACAGAAAAGTCCTAGCATCTCAGTACCGGGACATTATCCATTAATTTACGTACATTTCTGTTTGTCACATTAATACAGTATATTGTGCCCTATGATTATGACTAAACTAAGTTGATTATGATTGTACTTGGAGCTCTTACAAACCTACAAGCTTTCTAACATAAAAAATAAAGACTCTAATCTGTGTTACTGAAATGAACAGCTGCTTAAAATTGTATACATTTTCATTTCATTTGTAGGCAAAAACAAAAAGCTCAATAAAAATATGTTTCAATCTATCATATATGTGCAAATTCGTACACTTTGTTTTCAGTAACAACTAATCTGTGAGATTTGAGTGTAGACTCTCAAACACACACACAGTTACAGAACAGTGATGTGATCTTCATGAAGAGTAAGTCCAACTGTGTCCATGCTCACAGATATAAACACACTGTGTCTGCTCACCCCACACACCTTCATCCCCTCACACTCCTCAGCTGACGCCGTAGCCAAGCTGTCTGCTGAACATCTCTTGCTGTGAACTTTAAACGTCTCCCTGTTTGCCCACGAAACAAGAGATGAACACAAAATTGAAAAAAACATCTTCCAAATTATATTCTGGCAAACAGAGAGTTGTAAACTAGAGCCTACATTTTTAAAAGCAGAAACTGCCTTCCCCTTCCATCCTAGGAAAAAAATATCGCTCCCCCGATGTAGATCTACATTTTGCTTCATTTCACTCGGACATTTAACGGCGTGCACACCTTTTACAGTCTATGGTACATACACGCATGCACACAGATAGCTCAAAATGCGTCTAGATAACACAACACTTGACTTCAAAGTGGCGTGTATGTTTGAGCAAATGTCATGATGTCATGTTACGCTTTGCAACAAAATAGCTGCACTTTTATGAAAATGAGCAAACAGGATAATAACAATAATAATAATAATCATTCAATATGTATAAACAATTGGAAAACGAAAAAGCATGTCAAGTTGATGCATCTGTATATGAAAGGCAAGTTCGGCAGAGCATATATGATGGCGACACAGAGCTTCTAAGCAAGCTTCAGTTAAGCCAATAATTACACAGTTATTGAGGACTTACACGGCAAAGCACAACTCCACTTGACTGCAATTAAACAAAAGGTGATAAACTTCAAATCTGAAACTGATAAGAATGATAGTGATGAAGTTTCTTCATGACCAAGAGAGACTCGTAGCATGGATGCTTTCTCTCTGTTCCATGGGAGATGTTTAGCTAAATACTAACACAAATTGTAAGACAGCCAGAAATGCTATTGTGACAATATCTTATTTCAGATTTTTCACTCTGTTAATGTTAATTACATGAATATACTTTGAAAATCTAAAACAATGTTTGCCATCAACTCAAAAACTTTTCCTATTCAAATATATTGAAATGAGAATCTGCAATCTGTGACATTTTAGCTAAAAAACTAAACATTTGTGTGGGCATTATCCACTCAGCACGCACTCAACAACAACAGTCCCTTTATTGGCGTTAAAGCACATCCATTATGCTGAATTCCCTTTGGCATGGTGTTTGACTTTGAACATAAATGTGTGTTAGCAGTGGAAGTTTGTGCTTGACACTAAAACCCTACAGTCACACTATAGACGGATCGGACACAAGGAATACGGTTAACAGACTTCATTTACATTGATGATTTTGCCATAAGCCTACAGCTCATGAAAATCCAAAATTCCTATCTCAAAAAATTAGCATATCATGAAAAGGTTCTCTAAACGAGCGAACCATGTGGTGCCGAACAGGTATCGTTATGGCAGCTCGGGTGGAACCTTTCTTTTACTGTCTATGGGTGGAACGGGCCCTGGACATCCGTGTTGATTCTGTGAGAATAAAGTTTGTGTCGTCTTGTTATTCAACATCGATTAGCTCCAGCTGGCAGCTGCAACAACATTTGCTGTGTCCCAATTCAAAGGCTGCAACCCTCCGAAGGGCACATTTGAAGGCCGATTGCATCACTGCAGCGCGATGAAGGCTGTACCAATTCAGTTATGCATCCTCCGAAGGCCGTATTCGAAGGCTGGTTGCGTCATCGCGGCGCGACAAAGGCTACCCTGATTCAAAAGCGACGGCCAAATGCACCCTTCATTTCGTCGAGAAAGAGAGGATACATAAATGCATCCTACCCGATCCTACGCGGCCTATCCTACCTAAGTCATGTATATTCAACTGGTTTTAAATATTTAAATATGGTTGACAAGCTGATATATTCACCATGGTCCATTTCTGTATGCAATAAAAAGCACTAGCCTATGAAATCACATCAAGGTAGCCTGTGAATTAGGCTACATTGTGCAAACCACAGTAATACTAGCCTACGGTATCCACCAGATGAAGAAGGGTTAGCTCTCAATCTCCACAGTAAATAAAATATTTATTTTATTTTATTGTATTCGCATTTATGAGGAAAAAAAAACAATGGACTTGAGAGCTCTGAAAGCGGCACTAAAAGATAGGCCTACTTAAAAACTTTCACACAGACATCAAACAGAAAGCTTTCAATAAATAAGAGGTAAATAGGCTATAGCTATAAATGAACGAAACTCAGCATGAAAGGTAGGCCTACTCACCTCACATCTGTCTACTTTACAAAAAAACTATTCAAAACGAAAGAAATAAGACTCTGCTTATGTAATTTGTAATATATTATATATATTGCCCCAATATACAATTCTGGCTATAATAGGATATATCAACGCGTTCTCATCCCAAAGCGCCATATAGGACGCTTTTGCAAAAGCGTAAATATCCAACGCACATGGCACCCTTTAACGTGAAATGAGACGCAGATATATTTGGGCAGAAGGCGCCCCCTAGTGGTCTAACCCTTACCCAACACCATACCTAAACTTAACCATTAACCGAAGCGTCTCATTAGACGTTAAAGGGTGCCATGTGCGTTGGATATTTACGCTTTTGCAAAAGCGTCCTATATGGCGCTTTGGGATGTGAACAGTTCAGATGCAAAAGCCTCTAAATGCCATTTGAAATTTTCTTCTTTAATGATGATTTTTTATCAAACTTGTATATTTAAGTTCAGTAATTTCACTTAAATGGCAATGATAATTACCTATTAATTGTCATTTAAGTGAAATTACTGAACTTAAATATACAAGCTTGATAAAAATGATCATTTTAGAAGAAAATTTCAAATGGCACTTAGAGGCTTTTGCATCTGAACTCTTCACATATATATATATATATATATATATATATACAGTCGTGCTCAGAATTAATGGGACCCCTGGTAAATATGATAAAAACTGGCTGTAAAAAATAATTCTGCATTGTTTATCCTTTTGATCTTCCATTCAAAAATTTGGCAAAATTCTAACCTTTCATTGAAGCAAAAGAATTGAAAGTGGGGGTAAATCACACTATGAAATAAATGTTTTTCTCCAAAACACTCTGGCCATAATTGTTGGCACCCTGTTATTAAAAACTTTTTGCAACCTCAGATCTGTAAACTTTTACCAAGATAACAGATGGCAGAAGCTTCATTTTGTGCTCCGTAACTAATTTTTGTGTTGTTTTTTGTTTTGGATCGTTATCATGATGGAAGATCCAACCACGGCCCATTATAAGATTTCCAGCAGAAGGCGTCAGGTTTTTATTTTCATCTTTTTGTATTTGATAGAATCCATAATACCATGTATCTGAACAAGATGTCCAGGACCTCCAGAAAATAAATAGGCCCACAACATACAAGATCCAGCAGTATATTTAACCGTAGGCATGCACTCTTCATCCCAGTTTGCACCAAACACATCTGCTGGGTTTGCTGCCAAAATGCCCCTTTTTTAGTTTCATCTGACCACAGACCCCTGTGCCGCTTGAAGATCCAGTCGTGTCTGACACCTGAATATGCTGGAGTTTGTTTTTAGGAGCCAGGAGCATTTTTCTTGAAACCCTCTCAAACAACATGTGGGATGTAGGGGTTGTTTGATATATTTTTTTTAGGTTTTCTGACCCCCAAGACTCAACTAATCTCTGCAATTCTCCATCTGTGATCCTTGAAGAGTCTTTGGACACTCAAACTTTCATCCTCACCGTCCATTAAGGCAAAATAGACACACGTCCTCTTCCTGGCAGAATCATAACATCTTTAGTTGATTATAACTTCTTAATTATTGTCCTGATGGTCAAAATGAGGATTTTCAATTCTTTAGCTATTTTCTTACATCCACTTTCTATTTTGTGAAGCTCCACAATCTTTTGCTGCACATCAGAACCATGTTCTTTGGTTTTATTCATTGTGATGGATGATTCAGGGAATTTGACCTTTGTGATTCCTCATATTTAAACTCCTTGAAACAAGAAGTCATAGCTGGACAATTTCATGTTCCTAGTCACCCTGATGTGCTTAAAAAAAATAAATATTAATGGGAATGTACTTCAGAGATATTTTTCTCATAAAAAATTCTAGGGGTGCCAACAATTATGGCCAGAGTGTTTTGGAGAAAAACATTTATTTCATAGTGTTATTTACCCCCACTTTCAATTCTTTTGCTTCAATGAAAGGTTAGAATTTTCCCAATTTTTCGAATGGAAGATCAAAAGGATAAACAATGCAGAATTATTTTTTACAGCCAGTTTTTATCATATTTACCATATTAATTCTGAGCACGACTGTATATATATATATTTTTTTTAACCATATTTGACAGAAAATAAGTCGCATGTAGCCTACCAGAGTGTAGTCAGACCGGGCCACGAGAGAGAAACACGCACGTGCAGTTGTAAAAACCATATATTATTATTTTGAAATAGTGTAAAAGGCCTGTAAATAAAATACAACCTTAACAATGTAAACACTATAAACAAAGTATTTGCATATTTTACTTCCTTACTGTATGACAAATCCTTAAATAAATGGTAGGCTATTCAGAAAACAAGAATTAAAAATAAGTAGGCATATAGTAGACTATAATAAAAATATAGCCTTTAAAAGCCTATTTGGTCTTTATTACGATCAACATTTAGCCTATTTTTAAACACCAAGCCTAAACGAATTTATCTGAATCGAAACTAAAACTGTGCGGACGTTGGGTTCGCGCATCTCTCAATATTTACAATGTAACATAACATTTGCTTGCTAACTATTAATATGAAGAAGGCTTCTCACTTCAGTCGAGTCCCAACAAAGCCTAAGCTAAATCCTCGACTTCACAGCAAGGGAATTGAGTTATTTGTCTAACCGGCACATCCTTTATATTTGAGGCAACAGACAAA